CGAATTTTGGTTCATCATTCTCAGGGCCAAGGACACCTGATACAAGCAGTTCTGGTACATTTCCATCCAGAACACACGAAAATGGCAGCATATCATGGTCGTCATCATCCAGCCAGAGTCAGGTATGCGCATTGATACCCAATACTGTTAATTCATCAACCGAAAATAAAGTAGTCTTGCGAAACCAAGTTAGTAGTGATTACTGTCTTATCAATCTCCAACAAAAAAATAAAATTCAAAGGACAAAAAGAAATTTATTTGTATTACATGCATATTCTCCACCATACAGAAGTAGCATTAGTGACCCAATGAGATTTACAGATGAAGTTTCCGAGCCAATCTTACAAACAATGTAGTACAGGAGTAGAATTCAAGTTTGTGAAAGACTTGGCAGACAACAAAAACCACTTCAAGCTTTAAGCATGATTTAAACTTGAAATGCTTTACTAATGGAAAATAACTACTTAATTCACACTTTGTGTAACAAGTTCAAGGTAATAGCATAAAACATAGAAATTACTCAGGTAATACTATAAAGGCCGATCAGTGTTATTGGTCATATGAAGATCGCAAGACACCAAGACCAAAGATTGTTAGTCAGGCCTTTTAGGAAAGAGAATTTGTGTAATTAACACAATGCCTAACTTCCAACACAAAATATTCCCAACTAATTTCTTATATGGTAGTCGATTACTGAACACTGATATAGTGTGATATTGTAAGCCATTGAACATTCACTCCGCTATGAGATTTAAACCCTCCAGACAGGAATAAGAACTAAGGTTTCTTCTCTACGTTAATTCACATTTACATCAGGTAATGTTCCAAACATACATCTTTCACTTGCTTTTTCCCTTGCCTTCGTTCCTGTGGTTTCTGCATTTTATTTTCAGTGGTTTGATATGACCAAGAGAAAATTTTTACTTCTTCAAAGAAGGTAAGGAATCTTATCTGGGGTAAGGGGTATAGATGAAGGTTTTCAGGACCTTCAAAGTTACTAGAAGATGCACCACTAACAACATAGGCCTTTCCAAAGCAACGATGATAAATAGAGCATTTATTAAACAATGGCTTAAGCTGCGTATCTTACGCACAGGAGGATGTAGAAGCTGAGATGAGAAGGCTCAAGCAAGAGCTCAAGCAGACAATGGAGATGTATAGCACAGCATGCAAAGAAGCACTCTTAGCAAAACAGAAGGTGAGCACTTTTGCAATTCAAAATTTTCAAACTCCTTGTGCAGTAAGATCTCCATTCGTTGCACGAAATACACAAGAAGTCAAAGATATAAGAATTTTATCAGCCAAATTGGAAATGGCCAAAGTAAATTTAAAATATTTGCTCTAGGCATTAGAGCTTCAACGTTGGAAAATGGAGGAACAGCAGAAGCTAGAAGAGGCACGATTAGCTGAGGAAGCAGCACTAGCAATTGCAGAAAAAGAAAAGGCCAAGTGTAAGGTAGCCATTGAGGCAGCTGAAGCAGCTCAGAGGATTGCAGAACTGGAAGCACAAAAAAGAAAGAATGCAGAAATGAAGGCACTCAGAGAAGAAGAGGAGAGAAAAAGAGTACTGCATACGCTAGCACATGGTGATGTTAGATACCGGAGATACACCATAGATGAAATTGAAACAGCAACGGATCACTTCTCAGAGTCTCGAAAAATTGGTGAAGGTGGATATGGACCAGTCTACAAATGTAACCTAGATCATACACCTGTTGCAATAAAGGTACTACGTCCTGACGCATCTCAAGGAAGGGCACAGTTTCAGCAAGAGGTATGGGACTTAAATATACTTAGGCATGTTTGACTACCCTTAGAACATCAGTCATCCAACTACAGCTATGTAACAAAAATTAAAAGGACGAAAAATGCATATACTGACCAATGAAATAATACGAACATGCTGAAAATATATAACAGATTCAAGCAAATTTTGATAAAGATGCACAACCTTCTGCAGCATCTGTACGTACATTTTAATGCATGAAATCAATAAATCTTCAGGCCCTAATGCCAGAATTAAGCACTAACATCCTATGAAGGAATCAAATTACAACAAATAGTTTTACTGAAACACACTAGTGATGTCTTTCTCATATTCTTTTGTACTATGTTGATATAGGTTGAAGTTCTTAGTTGTATACGACATCCGAACATGGTTCTCCTACTAGGAGCATGCCCAGAGTATGGTTGCCTCGTGTATGAGTACATGCCAAATGGGAGCTTAGATGATCGTCTCTTCCGGCGAGGACAGACCCCAGTGCTTCCCTGGCAATTAAGGTTCCGAATAGCAGCAGAGATTGGCACTTGCCTCCTTTTCCTCCACCAGACAAAGCCAGAACCACTCGTTCACCGGGATCTAAAACCAGCCAACATTTTGCTTGATCGAAACTATGTAAGCAAGATCGGTGATGTTGGTTTAGCAAGGCTTGTCCCTCCTTCTGTAGCTGATACTGTAACTCAATACCTTATGACATCCACAGCCGGAACATTCTGTTACATAGATCCCGAGTACCAGCAAACTGGTATGCTTGGAATAAAATCCGATATTTATTCTTTAGGAGTCATGCTTCTTCAAATTATTACAGCAAAACCTCCCATGGGTTTGACTCACCATGTTCAGAGGGCCATTGAGAAGGGGAAATTCGCTGATATGCTTGACCCAGCTGTTCCAGACTGGCCAGTAGAGGAGGCCCTGAATTTTGCCAAGTTAGCTCTTAAATGCGCAGAACTAAGGCGTAAAGATAGACCAGATCTTCGTACTGTGGTGTTACCTGAACTTGATAGGTTAAGGACTCTAGCAGAAGAAAGAATGTCAGGCATCATTCCTAGTCCAGCAACCCTAGTGAGAGAAACCCCAAAATGTGCCTCTCAGGTAATTTTCAAAGTAAAATAATTGCTGAATTCTAGATAAACCAAACAAAATGTCTCTATTTCCAAAGAGTCCGGACAATACAACGTTGGAATTGTTTGAATATCTCTACCCTGTCCGAAAGCTGACGAGATACCCTGTCCATTATATCCATCTATTTTTTCTGTGGCACACTGGAGAGCTATAAACTGCATGGCTGCCTTATAATTCAAGTACTTCTAAAGACTGATCTTTTTGGATAATCAATCGTGTGGTTTAATACATTGTTGAAAATCCTGTTGCAGGTGAGTGAAGATCAGCCGCAACAATCTGGACGTGAAAGTCTAACAAATGGGTCAAGCGCTCCAACCTTTTCAGATAGAGATCAATGAGTAAGTTGGCGAGCAGTATGTTTGAAGAGATTCAGAAAAAAGGTTGTGAGATCACCTTAATGCTGAAGGCTACCAGAAAACCATTGTTTGATTTTATTTAGACTGCAAGATGATTTTTTATAAGGTTGTCTAGTGTTTCAAGGTTGCCTAATCTGATTATCTTTTCCAAGAATATTGGATAAGTAGTCTGGCATTTTGCCCAGGTTTCCCTTAAGTCTCTTTTGTCTGGTAAAACCAAGAGGCATGTAATAAGACTGCATTTTTAGTTATTTAAATTCCAAGTCACTCGAATTTCAAGTTCCCGTTTACCTCTACATAGTATGCTCTAAAAGATTTAGAAGCAGCAACTTTCATCACTTCCATTTTCTGCAAGTAATCTAGTGTTTCAATTCTCTGCATTTGAACGATTCCCAGTTTTTCACATTTCTGTCTGGCTAAATGTTCAATTAGTTAAACTAAATGACAAGTGAAAGCGTGAAACGATGAGGAGAGAGAGAGAAAGTGTGTTGGCAAAAAAAAAAAAAGGCGCGCACGGCAGAAGCAATTTTAGCATGTGTAAAAATACGTGGGAAGAGGAGGACAATTAACACATTACAAAACTCAATAATTTATTAATCGAAAACTCAATAATAACAATATAAATTCATAGCCTTTAGCTCAAAACCACTTACAAATTTCAACTGTGAAATTTTTTCTCAAACGTATTCTTACGATTTAACTCAACTCTTCCAGTAATAACCTACTAGACTGATAGTATTTATAGACTCCAAAATTTCATTAAACAAGTACAATTGTAAATTGAAATTTACTTGGAAACTGATTTTAAATTTCCTAATCCGATGTGGAAACTAAACAAACAAGACGGCTAAAAGAATTAAGAAACCAAATACAGTTTGGTTTAATTTCCCTTATTGCCTCCCTTAAACCAAACTCTTGATATTGTCATCTCCAATGTCATCACGAGTTTGAATCTCCATGAAAAATTCAGTTGCAATATAAACAATATTCAACACCAACTTGCAATAGATTTTCAATTTCATCTTTACACGTGGTAGTGGGCAAAACTTATACTTGTCGAACAATTTTTTGGTTTGATCACTTCTGACAAAAAATTCAGAAGTGATCAAACGATATTCTCTCAGCGGCATTTTGAATAGCTCAGTATAAAGGAAAAAGTACAGTGATTTGATTATTAAGAACAATGACGAGATAGCTCAAAAAAAACATGCTTGAGTTCAAGCTCAAACTCCACAAGAACATACTGCAAAGGTCAAAGTGAACTGCATGGAGAAATATTAATGTCCCTCATCAACTTGATCATACTCGATAACCAAGCAATTAAAAGCAAAGATTCAAATTACGAAGTTAACGCATACTATGTTATGCTTGTCATGCAACTACAACAAGAGACGTGAATTTTGCATTAGTTTCCGCTGAGAAAGGCGTTTAGGGAAAAGGGAACCTGAAAAAATGAAATCCAATGCTCGAATTTGGTCCTGTGATCAGAAAATCTAGACTCATGCAGGAAGCAGTAGATTGAGATTTTACATAGTATTTGGCTGTTATAGAGGGCCTGAGTCTTTGACATTATCGAGTGATGAAAATGACTCTCTGCAACATCAACAAACCTCTTAGGTGGCATTTGGTTTGCACATTGGAATCAGATTCGGATTTGAGATCATTCATCCTGGGCTTGGAATGGAATCTGTCATTCCATCCGTTTGGTTTAGTACTAGGAATGGAGTCAGACATTCCAATACATCCATTTGGTTTAGTCATTCTAATACATCAATTGGAACGCAGATGAGGAAAAATTCAATGTTACAAGATCTTACTCGTATCATCTCAAGATCTGAAATATCTCCTAGAGTAATTTCTGCAAGTCACAGAGCCTATATGTCTTGGTTTGTGTTCTTCCTTGCAAACAAGCTTGGCATAAATAACAACATTATCCAACTAAACTTCTAAGAGTTCCTAACATTCTCAGCTAAACTTAAAGCCAAGTTGACATATAACTATCCAATTATGCTGAACTATCCAATCATGCAAAGAAGCAAACATGCTCCAGTAATGTAAAGACAATCTTTTCTGGAATCTACTGGTTTTCCATTAACTAAACTCTTTCTGGAAGTTCCAACAGAAACTCAACAATGAGTTATAGCAGCACCTGGAAACCAGAGAAAGTGGATCTAGTAATCTCAAGATTCTATCCAGAATTTGAGGGGGAAGGACTGAGAAAGGAACGAGTGAAAAAGACTATTTGATGAAGGAACAACAATCATTTGCACACTTCTCCTCCTTGTTTCTCTTTTTCCTCTTTCATAAATTTCATCGATTTTTTCATGGTTGCTAGTCGGCCATACCACAGCATGGTGCAAAGATCCCCTTGAGACTGCAAGCATAGCCTACCACGCTATAACTGAAGTCATAAGACATAAACTAAATTTATAGCAACTGTGCAGTAAGTTATTAGCATCTTAAGAAATTATCCAACAAACTCCAGCAACTCATTAAGATTTTGTACTCTAACAATATCTGAAGAAAAAAGGATACAAATTTGCAAAGCCAAAGAATAGTCCAACAATGCTTAAGAAATTGGCCATGCAATGTCAGATAAAGGAAGCTGAGGCAGCCATGTTGGTGATTTTAATCATTGGTTGGCTGGGATAGCTAAATTGAAAAGGTGATCTTAATGATTGGTTGCCTGATTTTCATATTCTGCTTGGTGATTGGATGAGGTGATTACAGCTTTCGACAGTCATCTTCAGCCGCATTATCAGTATCTTTCTGTTCCTAAACCTGCAAATCCGAATAGAAATGACACTGGGTGTAAGTGGCGATCCTAATGACGGATATCTTGACGTTCATATATCATCAGACAATGGTTAATTACTTGTGCTTCATCCTCTTGATTCTTCATCTTTTTACATTCTTCATCAGTTTCAATTGAGAAACAAACTATTTACATCAAACAAAATGCAAGATGGCACTGAAATGATTGTGGCAAAACAAGAATGAAAAATATGGGTACTTATTCAATCCACTCTTTCGATTTGCTGTAAACCCATTTAGTTTATGTCTTGATCCAAAACATTTTTCAGTTTAAAAAAATAAAGAAATAAAAGGTTTCATATCTAAAACCGGAAGAAAAAAGCAGAGCCTACCAAATGACATGGCACCTACTACTTGTCTCCTTCATGCATTCAAACTTTGGTAAGTAGCTATGAACTAATGCTCACCAAACTTGTCCTTTTCCACATCCCAACTTCTGTGCTGACATCCTAAATATGGAAAATACAAGCATATAAGGACTTTTTTCAGAAAAGATAAATGAAAAAAATACAGCCTTGGCCTACCTATATACAACAACTCTTGGAGTAAACTGCATCTGCTCCCAACATTCTGTTCACCTGTAGCTGATGCTCTTTGTCCACCCAAAGAGTCCCACCAGGTTTTTTTGTCTCACTATTCAAGTGAGAGGCTGTCCTTTTGGCATAAGCTGCTTGTTGCATTGAAATCATATTGATTGAACATTTCATCAGTAATTCCAAAACACTTGGTTACTCCGGAATTTTTTCTTTTGATATATTTTAATAAGTTGCTTATAGGTCCAATCCCTTTTATCTTTGAACTCCAAAAAGGCCTCCGCGCTCAAGTGAAAATCCCCTTTTCCCATCGCATCAAAAACAATTCCATCTGTCAATATCGTAGCAGGAGTATCTGTGTCCAATCTGCTCAAAGCAAATTCCAAATTCTTTCCCAGCCTTCTCTCCAAGTATGCATCAACTATACAACCATAAGTCACAAGATCGGGTACAACTCCTTCATGCTGCATATGTTCAATGCTCAGATGCAAGTCCCAAAACAATGACATCTTTGCAAAAGCCAGAGCTCGAATGTTAAAAGTAGTCAGATCAGGATGGAATCCACCTTCCACCATTCTCACAAAGGTCCTCTGCAAGCTTTTCATTTTGAAGTTGGCGGCAAAGGATAACAGGAGAAGGTTCCACAGAAGGTTTCCTACATTTCTCCTGCCAAGACCAACATCCTCTAGAAACTTCCCTAGACTATAGAATTTCCTTTCCCTGATATAAGCAGATGAAACTGCCCTGATTCCTTCTTCCTCTATGAGAATCCTTGAACTCTTAAGACGGGCATATGCAACTTCCATCTGAGCCACTGAACCAAAATTGCTGGAATAAATGACAAAAGCATTTTGTGTGACAGAATCTACCGAGAATCCCATAGCAATCATCTCTGTTAGCATAATTTCCATCAACTCAAGTTCTCCTTTCTTACCAAAACAAGAAATAGTCTGCGCATATATTGCAGGTAACATCATATGGTTTCTCAAGCGTACTTGATGCAGAATTCTGCTCACCAAATCAAAATGTCCACTGGTTGCATAGACATCAATTAGCTCTGAAATTATAGGAACACTGGGTAGAAAAGAACTGTTAAACATTTCATCCCAAATACACTGTGCTTGAGAGAACAAACCTTTGTTGGCATAGCACAGCATCAAAGTAGACAGAGTGGAGACATCAGGCAAAAAACCTTTGTATGGCATTTCAAGCAAAAGCTCCTCAGTAACATGAAGTAAACTTTTAGTGCATGTGTTTGAACTGAATGGACAATCCATGTAAGCATCATGACGATCAACATTGCCTTCTTGTTTCCCTTGCAAAAGTCTCTGTTATGAGCACAACCACAACACATAGTGAGGTTGTCACGCTAAAACTGCCACAATAATTTCTAATTGGATGACTTAAGCTTTTGCATTCCTGCCGAGCTGGGTATTTGTCAATTAAAAAGCTTTTGTCCAGTTTAGTATCTAATTGAGGATAGGAAGCTATACCACTCCAAGATACTCATATCTTAAGATGTAGTAATAACCTACCAAAAACTGAACTTGGAAATAAAAGAAGGAAAGCTCTGTAAGAGAGTAATCTGATGCAACAACGATAGAAAAATCTGGATTTTACAATTTTTTCTTGTTTTCATGTAAAATGCTAATTTTTCCCATATACTGCTGCAGGCAACCAAATAGTTCCCCTTGCTTCAGCATTCAGCACAAACATTTATCTTAAAATCTTATATCACCCAAAATATCTCCACCCCTCCAACAATAGATTTCCTATCCACCCTACAGAATTTAATTCCCATACCAAATAAATCTCAAAACTTCTCTTTTTACTATTTATTTTTAGCAGAAACTCAAACTTCCCTTTCAGTGCAACAAATTTGGAATCTTTGAAGATCAAATATTGCTATTGTTGAATCTACTTTAAGTAGTACGGGAAAACATACAATAACTAAAGGAATTCAAAACAGAAAACTGCTTTACATACAAAATTACCTACTTAATTTTGGTCCTAAACCCAAAAAAAAAAAAAAAAAATCCCAATTCAAATATCCAGTTTCCAACAGATACAATAATATCAAGCAACAAATTTTTAGCAGAAACTCAAACTTCCCTTTCAGTGCAACAAATTTGGAATCTTTGAAGATCAAATATTGCTATTGTTGAATCTACTTTAAGTAGTACGGGAAAACATACAATAACTAAAGGAATTCAAAACAGAAAACTGCTTTACATACAAAATTACCTACTTAATTTTGGTCCTAAACCCAAAAAAAAAAAAAATCCCAATTCAAATATCCAGTTTCCAACAGATACAATAATATCAAGCAATTCCCATCAAAACCCAGAAAAAATAGCACTGAAAACAAATAAAAAGATTACAAAAAAAACCCAATAAAACTTGCAAAAGATGGAATATTTTAGCAGCAGTAAAAGTACGTAGTCATTACCTTTAGAGGCAAAAATTTATTTGCAGAGCCACTTCTCTGGAGAAATGAAGGAGAAACCATTGGATGGAGTGTGTTGATACGAAGAGTTGTGGAAAGAGGCAGCAGAGTTTCCATGGCTTCGCAGTTGAGCTTCAGAGAGGAAGATGGAAATATGGTAATGGTCTATTAGGAGTTAGGACTTTAGTTTCTGAGTGTACAATACATAGAGCTTAACGTACTAAATTTCAAGCTGTTTTTTTTTTTTGGGATAATTTCATAAACCTCCCCTGAGGTTTTATGAAATATCACCTAGCTCCCTTGAGGTTTACAAAATCTCACTTAACACCCCTTGAATTGACATTTTGATAATATTGGAAGCCCTTCTAACCAAAAGTAATATTAAAAAATTCATGTTTGAGGAGAGAGATTATTTTAGTGCCTTTAATACCCTTAGGTTATAAAAAAATGAACATTTTACAAACCAAGAAAAAAAGTACTAAATTGGAACCATCTTAAAAGTGAAAAGATAAAAATTGGTAAAATTTTATGTTACAGCCAATAGTCACTTTTATAGTAGGAAGAGATGGTAAAAACAAATAGTATTTTCTAAATAATTTCTACAAATAGAACCCTTCGTAGCGTTGAAGGTAATTAGTCTATAAAATCATACATTTGAGCAAAAAAAACTTAGTAATAGATGAAATTCAACTTCAATATCAAACAAAAAATTTACTCAAAATAGACAAACTTTTTTTATGGGTGTGAATATGAAATTTTATTATAGAAAAAGTGAGACTTTGAAAAACTGTTCGGAGTTTCAATTACTTTTATTTCTCTTGCACTCTACATGAATAGGAATAAATAAATAAATAAAGTTGTGAAACACCAAAAAAGAGAAAAAAATAAAAAGACTTGTAGCTATTTTTCTCCAAATACATTGAATATTTCATTGATTAAATTCTATATTTTATCGACATTTGCAATTCAATTATACATATATATATATATATATATATATGTATGTATGTATGTATGTTTGTACAGACACTGTTAAAGAAAAGTAGAAAATTTAGAGAAAGAAAAACAAATTTAAAAAATTTAAATATGAGGGTATTATTGACAATTCATCACCTTTGATATTAGTATATGGCCCTACTATCACTTCAAGGGTGCTAAGTGAGATTTTAAAAAGTTTAGGGGGAGTTAGGTGATATTTCATGAAACCTCAAGGGAGGTTTCTGAAATTATCCCTTTTTTTTTCCTTTCTTTTCTTTAATTTCAAGCTGTTGGAGCATGAGATAAATGGACTGTCAGAACTCAGAAATGGATTACAAATCTCTGCATTTAATATTAATACTAGACAATCGAGAGATTGCTTTACCCCAAAAAAAAAAAAAAGTCATTTTCTTATCTCATCAAAGGACACCAAGTCGCGTGATTTTTGGACTGTTAATAGGGTCGAGTTAATCCGAACTTCACTCTATTGGCTAAAAAAAGTTAGAATCCGATCTTGTGCATCATTAAATTAGGTTGAGTTTAGGTCTTAAAATAAGACGTGATCAAATTTTGAGTCGAGTTTGGACTAAATTAAGCTCGGCTCAATTATAGTTTGACCTGAATAATTAAGGATATAAGTATATATTTGTATTCATAATGATGCATATTTAATAATTATATACATTATTATGTCCAACCTGAATAATTAAATTTTAAGCCCCACCCTACTTCTCATATATATAAAATTATGAATTAATTGTGACTTTGGGTTAATTCTGAATTATGCTTGAAACCCTAATATGTTTATGAGTAAAATACAAGTATTGCACATGAAACTCAAAGTCTAAAAGCTCTTTTTATATTGTGAATAGAAATTGAACTTCTCAAAATCTAACTCATAAAGCTTAGTAAATTATTATTCTTAAAATTTAATAGAGCATACAAAACATATGCCATAAGTGTTTACGTGTGAGTTTAAATGCAAGTTACTTACAAGTTGATGCACATATATTGAAAGGAGCTTGGATAAGTAGAGCAAGTGAACTGGTGATGTTTTCTGCAATTTGGAGTGGCATCGAGAGTCCAGAAATGAATGTTTAGAATTGTAAAATTGATCTTTGTAAAAAAAAAAAAAAAAAAGAATAGTAAAATTGGTGATTAATTTTGAGCTGATTATAATAATAATAAAGTACTTACGAGTGCTGATTAATTTTGATAATGTTGAATATAACATTATAATAAGACTGGCCAACTCATTCATGAAATAAGCTTATGAGTTTAATGCGTCATTTGACATTGTAGTGGCTTATATGTGTTCAAGATGAACCATTAAAATTAGCCCGGTAATAAGGGGAAGCTGTCACGATCAAGATTCGAATCATGCATCTAGCAGTTGGAGGTAGAAGGATATGGAGAGAAGTGGGAGGATTAAATATATATATATATATATATATATATATGTTCAAGATGGAATTACGATGATGAGTTTATTTGAGATACCTGCAAGCTAGTTGCATAGAGTGTATTTGGATATCTCAATACTCGAATTTTGACCCGTGCTATGCATGAGTTAACCATTTGAAATCAAAATAGTAAAAGTATTTTAATTAAAAAAAAAAAAAAAGAGTCATTTGGAATGGAAAAGCTGAAAGTTCAAGATGGTGTCAATTTCTATCAAAATATATTACTTTGAATAAAAGCAAAGGAAAAAAATCCCCACTCATAAACTTGAAAAAGTTATGAATTTACCTAAAAATTGTGTTTCATTATCATATATTCTCGTAATTACTTATAAAAATTTGTCCCATTTTAGAAAAATTCCTTTCTTTCAGAGTATATCGTACCTTGAGAACTTTGATGTAGTTTTTAAACTACACATGATTCCATGAATAACAAATAATAAAAAAATCTATTTCCAGTTGCATTAGTAGATAATATTTATTTTCAAATAATTACATCTTCAATAAAAAAAGATAAAAAAAAAATTACCAAAATTAAATAGAAAAACACTCAAATAATAAGGTCCAAAAGACATACAAAACTCACATATCACGATCATCCTCCTCATTCCCCTATTTGCCATCTCTTCTACCTTACAATCCAATACCCTTCCTGCTACTCTCCTCTTTCTTTATGCCACATTTGGCTAATCTTGCAGTCTCACCTTCTTTATGCCCTCTACCTGGTACTATCCCCTTTTATTTGCTACCCTTACTTACGTAACAAGCCTAATCTTTTTCCTACCTTGCAAGGCATCCATATCCTCCATCCCCTGCCTATTCTTGTAATCTTATACATCACTTTGTCGACACTTTTCTTCCATTTTATAGATTCTCCTCCCCCTATCTCCCTTTTCCCCCTTCGCTACCCATTTAACATCTTTCAAATAGTTTTGGCCAAATTTAAGGTGCAATTTGAGATCTATTAGAAAAATCAAAATGTGGGTATAAATCCACAAAATTTTGCCATCTTTGAAGTTTGTTTATAAATAGCCATTCAATTTTTTTTTTTTTAAAGATTTCCTGAACCACTTTCAAAGCTAACCATTCAAATACATCCTCGTTTATTTAAGATATATATTTGTATCAATAAAATTTGTTCACCTTAAAATTTATACTCATTATAAGAGTATTATATTGGATATATTCTAAAAATGTTATTGTGAGCACCTAATATAATTATAATGATGTCACACATAAAAACGAAAGAAAAAAAACCAAAAAGATATACTTATGAAAAGAAGATGCTAAACAATCATGAGAATAATTAGAATTTTGTATAGTTGCTTTAGAACTTGAGAACATGGAGTTAGCTTCTTTATTCCAATTAAGGATACTAGAGTAAAAAGAAAACTAATTGACAAAATGAATATTGAAAAATAAGTAAAGATTACCACGAGTAAAAACATGATAAAAAAACTTGAGAATATATTTTTAGGATATTGATAAATTGATTTTTTAAATAATAACATATTAGATCTAATTTTTGTGATTACATTATGATTATTAGTACTTGATTTTGTAAAGCAAAATTATTTGACTTAAGAGTTTAACATAAAACATTTTCCTATATGCAATCTTAGAATTCAAAGAATAAAAGATTAAATCTTATAACAAAAGAGAAATAATAGCAAATGCATGGCCTATTATAGGATAAGAAACATATAAAATGCTTAATTTGATTATATAAATTAATAGATGTCAACATACACATAGTTGTTTGTGGTTCATTTTGAGAAATTATTAATAGATACCTTACATTACAATGAAGCCAATTTCTTAGTAAAATAATAGATTTTGATAGAAATAACAGAGAAATGAAAAAAAATTGGGTTTGTCATGATTTTTTCCCCTTAAAATTTTTGTGGTGTTCATATCATGAGAGGTGGGGAAATTTCTCCAATTTTTTTTTTCAAATCCGTAATTATTTATAGTTTCCTTAATTTGATGTTCAAATCATTAATATGCTCATAGTTATTTTCAGTACAATTAACTAATTACAAAGATGTTTCCTTAAATTCGTTTTATAGGTATTAAATGGCCAAACTTATTTTTTGGTTAAGGTTAATAAAAGACTAAAGAAATTGGAGAAGATTTCCTTATTATTAGGTTCAAACATTTAATGTTCATTCTAATTTTGGTAAATTGGAATTAGATTGCAAGATCATAGGCATTCTTTCATATTTTTGGGTATACTATAGGTTTGAAAGAATCTAATTTTAGGGTCTAAACTTAACTAATAGTAGCATATTTTTGGACTCCATCCAAATACAAGGTACTAATGATATTTTAAACAATTAAATCAATAAAAAAATTAGAAAGAATGGAAATTTGGAAGCTCAATAGGTGGCTTTGGATGAAAAGTTATATATATATATATATATATAGTCTTATACATACATATATATATAGTCTTATATCATAAATACATTTTTTAATCCTTTCAATCAGATTTTAATCTCATGCAAATTATGTCACAAAAAATGCTACAGTAGCATCTATACAAATTTTTTCCAAATAGTGAAGTATCTATTGGCTCTTATCTTTGGAATGGCTCGAAACGAGTCAGTCAATTGAACTGGTCCGACTGTCTCTTTGGAAATTGGTGTAAGATTCCATGAGCCAAGAACCTCAAACGAAAAAGATGAGGCAGATAATCTAACTATTACAATGTTCATGAAAATCATATTCATCATTACAAACTAACCTCTTATCACAAAATTCAAAACGCGAAAATTGGTAGTCCACATCAATTTAAG